AATTCACTACTATGGTGCTAACTTGCAGATTGTGACTGGAAGGCAGAGGCAGGTAATGTATGTGTTGCCTCCTTTGACTGGAGCTGCAGCGGAATTTGTAAATCAGTAGAGAAGTTAAAATACGTCCATGAAAAGTGCGGTGAAGGGGAAGAAGCTCTTTGGAATGCTCTCTTCTAATTTCCCTTAAACAAATAGAGATTCTTGCTGAGAGATAGCTGTCGGATAATTTCCATCTGGCTGGCTGTTTTTGATTGCCAAAATACACTCAGAACTTGTTGAGTAGAGCAATTTGTATAATATGAAACTGTTAGATTGAGAGCATGTTTGTTGTAGATTATGTCTCTGTCTAGATGATGATTTAGATTTCGGATTTCGAAGGACAGCGGAAATCCCTTTCTAATTCTTGTCAGCATATCCCTTAGATATGTACTCACATTTTTTGGTAATGTAATTTTGGTGGTGGTGAGTGAGGTTCATTGTTGTTTCTTGTTTGTGAGTAGAAGGCCTCCATTTTGAAGATTGACAATCTAGTGTTATTTTCTTCTTCTTTGAATTATTAATATTCTGGACTCCAGATTATATTTGGTTGCAATGAAATTTTGAGGAAGGAAACACATTTTTTCAAACAGTAGTTCTTCCTCTTCAAACTCCTTGTTTTTTCGTTTATGAATTCTGATGAGTGAATGACTTGCTTTAAAAAGTTAGGCTTTATTTTACAGCATTGTAATGGAACTTGTTTTGTTTTTATTACATTACATGCAAGGAAGGGAAAAGTGAAAGGGAGGAGGTTTTGTGCGTTGTATCAAATTAAACTATATGCTATGTAGGTCCCACCAATGTTTTTTAAAAATTGCCCCAAACTTTTGTATTTTATAAAAGAGTCCACCATTTATTATTTTGTAACAATATTGTTTCGTTTTCTCAGTCATTTGATAGTGTATTATGTAGTTCTTTTATAAAAATAATAATTTTGTACTAAATTTATTTATGTTTAGGACTGGTTTGCGATAATATAATGAATGTTATTGATAAAGGTAATGTTGGGTATTTTTGTGATAGTTTTTAGAACTTGTGGGTATAAGTTATGTTTCATGTTTTTTTAAAAAAAAGTGAAATATGTTTTGAAAACTTATGTTTAAACACATTTTCCTTTTCAAACTTTACCCAAATCAAACTTTTTTAAACAAATTTGAGAATTTATGGTCAGACGCTAGCTTAATCTTGTTCGCATCCCATGCAGTACCACTAAATTATATGTCAAATACTGGGCGTTGATTTATTATTTTTATTTTTGTATAAAAGAATTGATCAATAAATCAATCTAATTTACTAAAATTAAAAGTTGAAAAAGAATCTTTTTTAGGAGTTCTCGAGGAAAATTGTAACGTGAAAATGTGAGTAATTGACCACGTCATTTGTTAACTCACAGCTAGACATTTGAGTTCAAGACAGAATAGATAATTCTAGTTCCTGCTGCATATGCATTTTGTTTGATCCACACCACAACTTATTGTCTGTATTTCGTGGATTTGGTCACCACTGTCCTTTTGTCCGCGGCAGACGGCAGATGTAGTGTATAAAGTATGTGTTCAGTATTGTCGATACATAATATGTAAAATATTATTAAAAATTTTAAAAAGTTATATTATGAACCCATAATTTCTAAATGAGAAAGGGTTAAATAATAAAAACCTAAAGATTGCCCTCATCAAATTAAAATTTGGATCCTTGTATTATACTAGGACTATTGTGGTGTCCATTGGGATGTGTGCAGACAAATCAGAACTAGTATAACCATGCGTCCAGCAAAGACAACAAAACCAGCTTTTTACATGACTTTGGCCTCTATAAAACTAGGCAATTTGACAAACAGATAGGATTATTTATTTCTTCTACCATTTTCAACTACTCATAATGTTTTCTACTTTGTCTCTTCCCTTAGAATTGTCACTCAGCCTCTAATAATTTATGGCATGCATGGCTTTACGCAGACAAGTCTCCTTAGGGCAAATATATAATTTTGGCAAAAATTATTGTATTCTGCCGAGCCCATGACCAAGCTTCTATCCACCCTTGTGGACCTTAGGTTATTGTATAGTCTTTGGTTTCTAATTATTATCTGAAAGACATCGACTCCACTAATCTGAACTGGATGTTTGATTTTATGATATGATATTTTAAAATTAAAATAAAATTCTAGAAAATGGTGTACCTATACCTATAGTGACGAGCTTGTACTTGAATCACTTAGTTTTTGAATATTTTCTTACGATTGTATATGTCAATTATGAGAGACTTTGTTATTATTCGTCAGCTTGGACGCTTTAAACTATGTTGATATATACCAAATAATCATGATTAAGGTTAATGGGTATTTGTCTTTCCTTGAAATTAAGGAGCATCATCTCAAAATCCATGAACTGATCGATTGCCTAATTCAACTCTAATAATAATTTGAGGAATTACACATTTCCACTAGATTTGAAATGTATTAGCCGTTAATTAATATACATGGAGTAAATCTTTTTTCTTATAAGGTTCTCGAAACTCAAATCAACAAAGAGATGTCCTAAAATTATGATAATAAATTAAGTAAAATACTAGTAAATAAATAAAGGAGGAAAATTAATTGAAGCAGGTCCAGATGGAGTTTCACGTGCTCTCCGCATGCCAACAAATAAAAATAATGTCGTATGTCGGTTCAAAGGCGAGCACTTCCAACTATGTCGCACGTGATTTGCTACCTAAGCTTTCCCCTCCCCTTAAAACTCTTTACTTAAAACTCTTTATTTTACTTTGTCTAAAGCATATTACCTAATCCAAACAATAATTTGTCTAGAATAAGAATATTTAAATCTAATTTTATACCTTGAGTATATAAAGTTCAAAATTAGTGGGTTCTATAATTTAAAATTATACTTCATATTATATATATAAAAATTAACTAAATGTGAATTAATCTAAATAACTTTCATAAGCTATTTAATGATAGAAGCAAAAAGAAATAAGTGTGTCACGTTATTTTTGGCTTCTTTGTTTTTTCTTCAGAATTGTTGGTTAATCATCGACCTCATACGAATGTACTAAAATACAGAAAATGATACATTATTTTTTTGTTGTTGTTTTGAAAATGTTTTGACTCTTCTTTCATCATTGAAAAACTAGATATAGCTGGTTTAGAATTGATAAAACGATCTCAGTATTAGATTTTTGTTTCTTTTAAATGTGATTATAGAAACACAGTAAAGAGATTTGGAATGTTCGGTAAGTAATTTGTTGAGTGAGGACTGAGGACTGTAGACCTTAATTTGCGTTGGCAGCTAGCTGTATCTTAATTACCTCAAGCCTGGAAGCAACTTAATTAAGTTTTCTCTTATAATAATAGTAAATATATGCTTCCACTGCAGCAACAGATGTGTCTTTGAATTAAAAGTCATACTCGTTAAAGCAAATTATATACAACTTTCTTGAAGTATTACCACCATTAAAGGCAGCGGTGGAGGATCATTGAATGTTTGAAACCTCAACGAATATTAAATTTAAGTGTGTAACACACACAATATATTGATTGTTGAATTTTATTAATTCAAGGAAAGTTTTCAGTGTAGTGGTATTAGTCTTGTTTTAGATCTTGTTGTCTCCTATCTTGCTTCCGCCCCTATTAATTAAGGGTGTGATCCAAATGCGATTCCCTTATAAGAAACTCTTTGCTCGACGGAAAATTGTTAGGTAATATATAAGGTTTTTCCATATCTGTTTAAATTTTGATGGACATAATTATTACTCGTGAAAAGTAGTAACTACTCAAACTTAATCGAGTTATGTGCAAGCACTGCAATTATTATAAGAAAAATAGAGTTATTTGCGTCCTCTTAGCCAGGGGCGGCTCAACGAAATTGATGGTCTAAAGCCGACGTTTAGAAGAGATTCAAAATTTATTTAATAAAATTGTATATATTTATGATTTCTTTTCTTTTTTGTTATTAATAATAGTTTTATGGACCGTCTTGTATATATTTTGGCCCTTCACTCGGTTACCTGCTAGATATCTAGTATCTAAGGTTTCAAATTTTATTGTAAGAAAATCTGCAGTTAAGAAAATATTTTTATAAGTTCCAACATCTAATGATCGTAATTTTATATACTACTAAAGTAGATTTTAAAATAATTTTATACATTTAAAATAGTTCAAGTTTATTTGAATTAAAAAAAGGACTTGATCTACTCTTTATAGGAAATAATTTACTTTAAAAGATATTACAAGAGATTTTGTTTTTATATTTTTATTATCAACGTCATCATCAAATTGTTATTTTGCCATATTTTATGTTTATTTTGAAATTCAAGTAGTTATCTAAATAACTTCTATTTTTTCTAAATAACTTTTATATTCAAAAAGAAAAGACATAAATCTAGTATCTTTTTAATAATATAAAATTAACTAATAATGAAAAATTGGGGCCTAGCTACCTCTCCCTTGGGCCGACACTCCTCTTAGCCTCTTACGTAAAAGATGTTTGAGAATTATTATACTCTCTCCGGTCTATAATAAGTGATCCTTCTACCTTTTTTATTTTGGTCTAAAATAAATGTTCTTTTACATAACCATGAAGGTATTCATTCTGTTTTTCCAAATTTACCTTTATGTACTTATTCCTAAAAGGCCTTTTAAATTACTAACATTAAACAAGTTCAACAATAAATTAAGGGTAATTTAGTTAGAATATCTATTTTTCTTAAGATTTAATATTTTTTTAGTGGGCGTTTCAAAGGTAAAAAAATCACTTATTATGAATCGTCTCGATATTGAATTATGTGTTCAACTTTCAGATAGGCCACACTTGGCTATTAGGGAGGAACTTTCGGGCTTCTAGGGCCAACCAATGAAGTAAAGAAAAGGGACTTTTCCCAAACTCTGAGCAATCTCCATCAATGCGCTTAATTAAACTTTTTTTTAAAAAAAAAAAAAGTCGAAATTTTAGCTAAATTTTGTAAGAAAAATAAGAAGTTTTTGTCATTTTTCTCACTTACGTGTCCAGTTACCATTATATAGCCCTGTGTACCATTTTCAGGCTTTTACTTCCTTCTTGATCTTTTTATTTCTGCAACCATAACTTTGTACTAATTTTTTTATGGTTACTATCGAAAGTCCTATAATTAAAATAAGATAAAGGAAAAGTTTCAGTTTCAGGTGTTATATCGAGGAAAGGCAAACTCGAAAAGATAATTGCATTTTGCACAAACAAAATCACTTCTCACTGGGTTCCGAGTGGGAATTAATAGCGCAATTCCATCTTTTGGAAGGGAGAATTATTTTTCTTTGTATTTCTTTCGGAAAACAACAATTTTGAAAGAATGAGGATAGAATGTGGGTTTCATGTGAAAGATAAACTTGTATAATTAAAGTTTACAAAGAGAAGCCAAAAGCTAAGTGGTTTCCGCAACGTATATGTACAAGATTCCAAAGCAGTGATCTCCTTTTTGGCCCTCCCGTCCCTTTTCAATGGAATAGTTCAAAAAGTTTAGGGTGACAATTTGAGCCCAAACTCATCTAACCCGTCCAACCCGCCCAGAGATTA